AAAACAAGCAGGGCCATTACCAGGAGGCTCAAAGTAACGCAAAGAAAGATGGAGAGGTCGATACTGGGTGTAACCCTGAGGGACCACATACGAAATGAAGACCTACGAAGAAGAACTGGCGTAAATGATGCGGTCAACATTGTGGCAAAGCTCAAGTGGAACTGGGCGGATCATCATCGCAAGAATGAAGAATGAGCAGTGGTTGCCTGATTATAATACGTCTTCGATCGTTGACAATTCCTCGTCTTCAACGCCCATTTGATCATCTTCCTCTACATTTTTTCCAAACCTGTTATATTTTTACTTGTATCACTTTTATATGTACTGCTTTGGTATTTACCGTGGACCGGGGTAAATACCCGGATAAATACCCATTTTATAAATACCTACCCGCCAGGTATTTACCCAGCGCCCATCACTGCTGACACAACATCCTCCGCAATTTCTGCAAAGTCCTATGTGTCATCAAACTCACTTAGCCACAGTAATAGATTCTTTATTTACATAAATATTCGTCCACTAACCCACAATGGTAATAGGGTAACAATAACACACAATGGGTTATGATGATTGTGATGGACAAATAATGACGTATAAATAAAGTATAATAGTACATAGTATAATTGTAAGCATTAAAAAAGTGATAGACTAATCTTATAAATCAAAATGTGTAAAATAGCAAAATCAAATTCAATATATTTGAGATTTTTGTTCCATCCTTTATGTATAATTTATTGATTTATTTTCAAATTTAATATTAACGACTTTTTTTAAATTGATTTTAAAGGTAATAGCATTTTATGGAAGTTCAATCGATTTAATTGATCTACCATTGCCGAGAGAAAACAAAACGTGGGCTTTATATCATGAAGAATCGTCAAGGAATACCCCTTGGCTTATTTTCCCAGAATCTCAAAATCTATTTAACGTTACTTCCACATTTAGTCGATATAGTAATTATCCGTTAACACTCTCGGGATTAAATGATGATTCAATAACTGGGTTAAAATATTATTTACCATTGCCATTGAAGAAGCGAAAAAAATTATCTCCTATCGTATATATTCAATCTATCTGTGATAATCCCATACAAAGGGACTCTTATGTTAAAAAACTTATGGATTACATGCCAATTGATTCTTTTGGAAAGTGTTTAAATAATAAAGAACTTCCCGAAGAGTATGTTATTATCTTATCGTTTTTTATTTATTTTACTTCTTGAATATTTTGAAGTTAATTAGTTGTTTTAAGGTTACAGTTAAATAATGAAGGTGTTTATGATCTTTATCAAGAAGACTTAATGAACTTTATAGCTCAATACAAATTTTCAATAGCAATAGAAAACTGTATCTGTAATGATTATATAACTGAAAAACTTTGGAGGCCATTAATTGCCGGATCTGTACCAATTTATTTTGGTTCACCAACTATAAAAGTAAGTATTATACATACATATACCAATAACTTAGTTCTTCTTTATTTATTTTTTTTTTTTTAGGATTGGTTACCAAATAATAAATCAGCTATAATTTTAGACGATTTCAAAACAATAAAAGAACTTGCAGATTATATCAATCAAGTGAATAAAAATGACACAATGTACTTAGAATACCTCCAACACAAACTTGCTGATCATAATTTAAAAATGACTAATGAATTTTTACAACGCGAAATTAATAATCGAAAGGATACGTCAATAGAAGGTTACAATTGCTATTTATGTAAAAGTTTCCATGAGAAAACTATTTATAATCCGCCGAAACAGAGTCCTTACAAATGTAGCAAACATAAAGCGTGGGAGAGTTTTTGGAAACGAGGCAAATGCGAAGCGAAAATCTTGGACATGTTCGTTAATCGATTACAATTGAAAAATTTTACTAAACAGGAATTTGAGGGCAACATAACTCAGGCGATGAACTTAAATCAATGTTAAATGTTTACGTATTTATTAACTGATGATCTTTTATTTAACTTTAAATATTAATGTGGTTTTTTACTTGTTATGAAGTGTTTAATGATAAGAATAAAAATTAATTTTTCAAGTATTTTCTTGTATTGCAAAAATACCGTTTTTGCAAAATTTCGAATATTTCAGCTTATATTGATCAACTTAAGATTTGAATAGAAACACCGTATGTATCTAACTTTTATACCATTTTTTAGGTGGTTTGTCCGTAAATTTCGAATCGATCGACAAGGTCTCTCCAGTATCTTCGTCTTGATCTTGTGAAACCAATAACATCTAGATATCTATCACAATGCTCTCATTTCCACACTTCTAACCATACCTTTTATTTTAGAAGTTTCTGCCCGAGCTTCAGTCGCGTATGTTAGAAGCGGTGTCACAATTGACTTGTATCTGCTGTTGACATGTATTTATATGTATTCATTTGGAGAAAAGATGTGCTCCCATAAGTAGTTTGATATTCTTGCTGCTTCGTTTGTTTGCGTATCAACATCTTGATGTAGATTTCTGGTGCTGGATACTTGCACTGCATTTACAGTGCATTTAATATTTTGTGTTATTGGTTTATCATACAGTGAAAACTTATATCTAACGGAATCCTTCGTTGTTACCATTGATTCTGTTTTGCTTACTGATATTAACATGTTAAGTTTTTCAGGCGTTACTTGAAATTTGTATTGTTGTCGTTGTAGCTTGTTTTCATTTTCTGCCATTAGTATGGTATCATCAGCGTAGCACAGTATTGTTATTGCTTTATTGAATATTCTGTAACCTCGCTCTACCTCTTTAACTCTACATATCATTTTGTCCATAATATTAAAGAGGTGAACTCACACTGTCTTCCCTGGCTGATTTTTGTTAGTACAGGGACTTGGTATATAATACTGTTCACTTTTGTTTCAAAGAATAAAGGGCCTACTATTCGACAACGAGATATAGCACACCACACTCCAATCTTCTGGGAGTGCAAAGGGTTTTCATGAAAGACGTGACGATTTTCGGTTGCCCAAATTCTTGTGTTTTGGCTATTCACGGGTCCACTAAAGTGAAACCATGCCTCGTCGGTGAAGAAAACACGATCAATTTCTTCAATTCCATGGTTGTCGACGAATGTCCCAAAAAATCTACAATATTCTAAGCGCTTTTGTTTATCCAGGTCTTTCAATTCCTGTACACTTTTCATCGTTTGTTGAGCACTTCCATATATTCTGAAATCCGAGTGTGTGCTGAGAGTCTCCTCAAACTTTTTGAAGGCGAACATAGCATCACATTTCGAATTTCATTCAGTTTCTCGTCGGTCAGAATGGCTGGTCTCCCGGTTTTTTTCTTGTTAGCAACTGATCCACATTCATGGAAACGGGCGATTAATCTCGTTATTGTTGAATTATTAGGTACTCTAACATCTGGATATTTCGCACGAAATTCGTCTGCAACGCGTGCATATGATTTATTTGAAAACTATCGTTCAACAACGAAAAGTTGCTGCTCTTGGGAAAATGGCATCTTTGTAAATAAGTGAAAACCGCAATACTACCGATGTGAAATGACAAATTTATATTTCAATGTCATCTACAGTATGTCCCCGGATAAAGTTACAAAGAGGAAAAAAATTTTTATTACTGAATTTTCAAACATAAATAATGCGTCGGATATGTTCAAACCACTAAATCGCACGAATTTTATACTCTAACTATAGAAGTTAACTAATTATTCCCATTTTTATGTAAAAATTTGACCTTTTTTCTAAACTAAAAATTTTTCAAAGTTCAATTTATGATATGTAACCATAGAAGAGTGATGTAAATCCAAATTCTACACTCTCTAGACGAAGTCAACATTTCAAAAAAGTAAATGTGTGGTGTGCTATAGCATAACATATCACGGGGTAATTGGGCCATATTTCTTCGACGAAAATGTAAATCAACAGAAATATTTGGATATGTTACAAAATTATTTTAATGAACAACTTGACGAATTACCCTTAAATTTTATAGGGTCAATGTACTTTCAGCGAAACGGTTGCCTAGCTTACCATCACACATTGTGACCGAATGTTCACATTTTATGACCAGTACATAGTCCTGATCTTACAATTATGGATTTTTATTTTTGGGGACGATTGAAACAAATTGTTTACAGTGAACCATTACAAGGAGATGCAGAACTATTAATCTCTACCACTGGCGGAAATTCGTAATTCTTGCAAAAAATTTAGAACAATAGTTGATTTGTTCACTTACAAACTTACATAGTGTGTTATTACATACATTTACATTTAAAATATTTTATTCAATTATTTAGCCATATTGCCTTATTTTAATTTGATTTGTCCGTATATTTTTCACTAACATAAGTTATAAAAATGGGAATAATTGGTTAACTTCTGTAGTTAAAGTATAAAATTCGTGCGATTTAGTGGTTTGAACATATCCGACGCATTATTTATGCTGAAATAAGTTTGAAAAATCAGTAATAAACTATTTTTTCCTCTTTCTAACTCGATCCTGGGACATACTGTAGATCTGTTGTCGGCAATACCTGTGATGCTATCACGCGGTATGCGATAGAAATATTTCATCGAAAGTATTATTAAACATAAATTTATTTTGATGTGCTCCACTTTTCGATCTCTCTGTAAAACAGGGCCGTTAAGGTCAATCGATTAGAAAGACCGTCTTTCAAAAAATCGATAATCTAAATTAAATTAGGTGGATTAGTAACGTTTTCACATTCGAAAATTGTTTAATTTTTGTAATAATTAATGTAAAAGTTTAAAATTCCCCACCCCCGACTCCAGATGACGTTTTTTCTTCTGTTGTCTTCTAGCGCATAAGATTTGTAGCATTGTCTCTCTCCAGGAATTTTATTGATTTTTCTACGCNGGAAGTGTTAAGTTACACTTTGGCCATCGGCGCGTGGTTACAATAACGCTGAGCAATAGAATTGTTGGCAATGTAATAAAGTAAAATAAATTAGTAATTTTAAACTAAAAAAAGTTTAAATCTTATCCGAAATAAATACATACACCCTAACCACCTGGAGATACAAGAGGCTAAAGGCTAAAGGCTTTCACGGCCTGGTTAAAGAGCTTGAGAGCGATGCTGATAATATAAAATGTAATTAAATTTAATATCGAAAGAAGAAACGCAAATCTGACGAGTCATAAGACAAGTGTACACTTGTCTGATCTGTCGTTATGCGTCACTTCCCACTCCACTGCTCTGACGGACATCGGGATCGCTGCTGATGCGACACAACACAAGGCACCACAACACATTGCGACACACAAATANCACTGGCGGAAATTCGTAATTCTTGCAAAAAATTTAGAACAATAGTTGATTTGTTCACTTACAAACTTACATAGTGTGTTATTACATACATTTACATTTAAAATATTTTATTCAATTATTTAGCCATATTGCCTTATTTTAATTTGATTTGTCCGTATATTTTTCACTAACATAAGTTATAAAAATGGGAATAATTGGTTAACTTCTGTAGTTAAAGTATAAAATTCGTGCGATTTAGTGGTTTGAACATATCCGACGCATTATTTATGCTGAAATAAGTTTGAAAAATCAGTAATAAACTATTTTTTCCTCTTTCTAACTCGATCCTGGGACATACTGTAGATCTGTTGTCGGCAATACCTGTGATGCTATCACGCGGTATGCGATAGAAATATTTCATCGAAAGTATTATTAAACATAAATTTATTTTGATGTGCTCCACTTTTCGATCTCTCTGTAAAACAGGGCCGTTAAGGTCAATCGATTAGAAAGACCGTCTTTCAAAAAATCGATAATCTAAATTAAATTAGGTGGATTAGTAACGTTTTCACATTCGAAAATTGTTTAATTTTTGTAATAATTAATGTAAAAGTTTAAAATTCCCCACCCCCGACTCCAGATGACGTTTTTTCTTCTGTTGTCTTCTAGCGCATAAGATTTGTAGCATTGTCTCTCTCCAGGAATTTTATTGATTTTTCTACGCTCCAATCGTACGTTCAAATCTGAGTGACGTATTTTGGAGCTCCAATCGTACGCTCAAATCTGAGTGACGTACTTTGGAGTTCGCGCCCTGTAATTTCAAACTTTATTATTTTTTTTTGGAAAAACTACGCCTCAGAATCAAAAATTAAAAAATATAGGGTCAATGAATTTTAAAAAACTTGCGAATAAGTCAATAAAAAAAAAACTTAACGGCCCTATTGTCAGGAATCAGGAAATCTCAACCCTATCAAAAGCCTTTTTAAGATCTACTAAGGTAGGTATAGTGATTCGTTCTACTTTCTAGACTTCTCAATTAATTGTCATAGTACACTGTTGGAAATAATTCACGAGAACACCCTGTATAATCTGAACGCGTGTGTCTAGCGTAATAAAATTTGGTATGGAAGTAGTACCTACTAAAGTAGTGTAACTTATTCTTACATGGAGAGCGGCACAACTCTGCTGGGAGGAGAAACATCAAGAGCGAGAGTATCCCCGTGAGCTTCGCGTACCATCGCTACACGACGTGGCATGGAGTCAATAAGTCGCTATATTGTAGCAAGAGGTATGGCCAACCATGCCACCTCAACTCGCCTCCATAGCTCCTCAACGTTAGCCGAGGAAGCCGGATAACGTAGAAGTCTCCGACCAGTAATTTCCCAAACATGTTTGATCGGATTCAGATGCGGAAACCGAGCTAGCCATGGAAGCATTCGTATACGGTGCTCTTCCACAAAGGTCTGTACAACACGCCCGATGTGCTGTCGTACGTTGTCGTGCATGTATAGCAGACCTGGGAGCCGCCGAACGTAGGGAAGCACAACGGACCGTAGCACCTCATCTACGTATCGTTGACCCGTCATGGTCTGCTATACACGCAGCAGACGTGTACGTCCACCATATGTAATCGCACCCCATACCATAATGCTCGGTTGTCGGTGGATAGGGCGTTCTTGCACACACTGCTCGAGTAGACGATCACCACGGCTCCGACGAACTAAAATTCGCGCATCACCGGTGCTCAATTCGAATCTTGATTCGTCGGAAAACAAAATGTCCCTCTACTCGGCAACCTACTAATGCC